ATAAATGCTGACTGAAACAGACTTGGCAAAAAAATTACTTTCTGACATCAGTGATGAGCAATGCTACCTTTAACATCATTACTTCAAGGGCTGTCTGGCACAATGACTGAAAACAATCCACAGAAGCAACTCAGTAGCATAGAGGGTGAGGGGAAACTTAACACATTAAGTACCCGGTTAAATGGTGTAAGGGTTATGTCCCTGGCAATGGCAAAGAGACTTCAGATGCTGTAATGTCCTTTTGAGTTCTATCCTCTCAGGTATGCAACAGTCAAGTCTAACAGCTTCAACTAACATCAACCACGCATTCTGTCATAGCAGTACGGTCCCATACTTCATAGGTTTGGAAATAAAAGCTCTCCTTCTTCCAAGAGTGGAGAGAAAAGTAGCCAGCAAAAAAAGATCATGAACTACCTTCACACATTCTTTCAAAGAAAGAGATAACTCATCAGTTATCTGACTTCAAGATGCATTTCCATCTGAACAGTTATACTGTACTTGTATGTGCTCTTGTCACCCAAGGTCAGATAACTTTTCTCTACAGACTACTACAGAAGGTACGTTCACACTCAACCCCTCATACCTCAAACACTGCTGATACGAAGTACACAGTGCACGGTTCCATCTGATTTCTGTCCCTGCTATAGAATCTAAACACAAGGACTCCAGAAGCAAAGTGAAAAGTACTTCTGGAAAAGGAAAGGACAAGCAAACCCACCCTGGATTTACCTAACGGAAGAGCAAAGGACTTGCCACACTCAGGCACCAAGTAGCCTGTATGAGGAAAAGCTGAAGACAGGGAAGCTTTGGTCAATTCCAAAACTAATGCTGAAAAACCAGCACAGAGTTTTAAGGAAGACAAGGTTAGGCTGATTTCAGCCATTTGGTGACAAGCACAAAATGGTGACAAGGCTGCAGGTTTATAATGCTCTCTTTGCAAAATGTCCTGGACTTCCATTTGGCAGGCTGATTTTAGAGCCATATTTACAACAGCCTGGCAAACTTCTACAGGACTCAATCTGTTCGGAGCAAGATTTAACCCAAAGTTTGATGCCAGGAGCTCACAAGGAAAACACCCCTTAAGTGCTAAACCTGAGGAGTCCCAGCTTGCAATGGCAATGCACTCCAGGCTCCAGAAAACTCTGTCTGCTTGCTCTGACAGCATTCTCACATTGTACATCCTGAACCATGTCTAGTTCAGGGTCAGCACTGAGAGGTCAAGAGATGGTAGCTCAGACAGCTCTACTGATAGACAGAACATGACAAAGTTTCCAAAAAGTGATTCAAAGAATAACTCATCAAGGAGGTAGGAGTAAAGAAAAAAAAAAAAGAAAAAAAACCCCCACAACTAAAAGTATTTTGTGAAATCTTAAAGGTCTAAGTATATTCCTTCTACATTTTTATAGTTATAGTTAGTGTGGCTGAGCACAGGGCAACACAGAATGCAATATAGCCTCTAGAAATCCTGCAAAGGGAACATCTAATTTCTCTTTGAATATCAATGCAGATGTAACTGTTCCAAGATACAAGTTTGACTATATTTCAGTTGAAATTAAACTTCTTTTAAGAGCAACCCTATATGTATTAATAGATCTGTACATGTGAGACAAAACCCATGAAGCCCATCTCAAAACAGGTTGAGAAATTTTCCACCCTGCACCTTTGTTCTTCCCCAAAGAAAAGACATCAAGCTTCTGTACAGAGCTTCTGTACACTTCGAACAGCTTCTAAAGACAAACATCAAAATTTTTACAAATTAAAATTTTCTGACCCAATTATTTTGGTGGCTAGATAACCAAAACAGTACTGCGTCAATTCATTAACTAGCTGAAAGTGAGGGATGCAAGAAATTCAACCATAAATGTGGTCTTATTCTACATTATTCTACATTCATTAATTTTATTTTAAAAATAACCTTTTAAAGACAGAAATTGTCAATTTTGCCTCAAAGAATGAAAGATACATTTCATTTTTGCTAGTTTCTAATTTACTAATTTTTGCTCTTGCAGAAAAAGTAATTTTACTTTCATGACCAAAAAATTGTTGGAGCATATAGCAATATCTACTACATAAGCTAGGGAAAAAAAATACACAATCTTTTGTCTATTAATAGTGTATAATAGGTCCTCCTTAGCATTGGAGGTTATCCCATCGCACCACAGTGCTCCCAACGGGGGAGACATTAAGAATGCTTCAGCAGAAAACAATGTCTGCCCTTTAGAGATTATCATCTTATTGAATACCTTGTCCGCCTTTTCAAAACTAATGGCAGGTATCTCTTTAAAAAGCCTGAACTCCAGAGGAGGGAAAAAAAACACCAAAAACCCCACCTCATACGCAGTTGTCTACCTTGGTATTTTGCTAGTCATTCCCTGGCCAAAGTCAAAATTAAACAAAAAAACCCAAGCAAATTAAAAACCATGGAATTCCATCCGAACATAAAAACCCAACCTTTTTTACTGTGAGGGCAGTCAAATACTGGCACAGGTGCCCAGAAAGGTTGTGGAGACTCCATCCTTGCAGATATTAAGAATCCAGCTGGGTACAGTCCTGGGCAACCTGCTCTGGCAGACCCTGCCTGCACAAGGGATTGGACTAGATGATCTCAAGAGGTCCCTGCCAATCTCAATCAGTTTGCAATTCTTTGGTAATACACAGAAAACTACAAATTAAGTATGAAAAGACAGGGTATTAAAATGCTTTACTTCTGACTGAAAAAAACAAGGTCGAACAAATATTTGTCTGAAGAAAACAAACAGACAAACAAACCCACAGAGATCTGTGAAAAGGAGCCCTGAGCTTCACTGACCAGGCATGTTACCTCTTGGTAACAACAAAGTCGTTCTTTTCTCCTATTTCTGCACATTTGCAAGAAAATTAGTAGGAGAGATGACTAGAAGTAGTTGTCTTCTCTTCACTGCACTTCTGCAGAGGCCAAAGAGGAAGGAGCTATCTGTGCCCTTCCGTAACAGTCAAAATACACAGACGCCAGACCAGCAGCACAGCCACGAATTCCTCAGAAACACCCCACATTTCCCACCCCACACCAGCAGAAGCCGACGGGAGATGTCCCACATGAGGTCCCTGCCTCACACAGGCGTTAAACCTCTCAACGTCCGCCTCTAACCCTCACCATGACAAAGCACCTCACCTTCTGAGCCTGCCAGGTAGGAACATAAGGTAAGAATGCCCTCCTCATCTTAAGCCAAAGAAAGTCACAACAAGGCCTTTCAGCAATAAGCTTTCATCAGGGCCTGTTTTACCAAGGGAAATGCTGTGGCAGTTGAGCCTCCAGGTGCCAGGTCCCAGCTGCCCCTGCAGGGAGGGCGGTGGCACGGGGAGCCGCCAGCCAGGCCCGCAGCACTGCCAGGCAGCTGAGGTGACAGGCCTGTCCCCTGGACGCCCCTCAGCTTCACTGTTTGTCACAGAGTGGCACAACTGCATCAAGCCCACTTTTGTGGGTGGCCCAGGAGAGGGATATCGACCCCAGCTACGAGCGCAGAGCAGCTCTGATGGGTCCTGGCCGGCCCTCTAGGCCGTCTGACCAAAAAGCAGGACTCCCAGATGTAAACTCCGGACCGTTATCCCGTGCCTTCAAACTGAAGGGCATGTGTTTCATTTTAGTGCTAATTGACCGAGATCCATCAATGCTTCAAAGTTATTAGTTTTAACTGAAAGACCTGAGGCCCATGCCCAGTACGGCTGAACCTTCACACACGGTACTCAAGCATTAAATGATGCAGATAAACATAAAAAGTGTTTTCCCTGGGGGGCCCAGCAGAAGCCCTCCTACAGCGTTAGTGACAGCTTTTGTCTCTAGAGCAACATTAAAAATGCCAAGTGACAGAATTCGCAGGTATTTTCTTCAGAGAATATTACACAAGCCAATAGATTTTACACATAAATCATCCTATTAAGTTAAAATACAAAATTCAAACTGAACTATCAAAGAAGAAATGAGGGGATGCTATCAACACAGCAAACCAAATAAAAATCTTGGTTTCATGCTCCATTCTTAAAGAAAAAACCAAACAGTATTCCCAATGACCACAACAAACGCCATAGGTAACAAAACCAATAAATAAATGTTCATAAATATTTTGCAGTCTACTGTGTGTCTGAAGACCCAACAAAAAGCAGCTGCATTCAGTCTTGAAAATATACGTATAATGTAAATCAAGTATATAACATCCTAAATACATGGCATCAAATCTTACCAAGTAACTTCCAGCTTCCGATGCTTTTTAAAATCAGTTCATTTCACAAAGGGTTTTTGAAGATCCTTCTAAGGGGTCTATACAGCTTCCTGAAGCTACAAATCTTAGTACTGGCACGAACGCTATTTCTCTCAAGCGCTGAATGTTTCAGTGCATATTTTTAATGTTTGAGAATTACTACTATGTCATCTTTTATCCAGGTATGACTACCATACAGAACATGTAAAGTATATTTTTAGAACTCCTGTACATTTTCAGAACTCCAGATGCTGTCATTGGATGCACGGGGATGAAACAAAACAAGCACACATAAAAAAATAAATTTGCAAGAAGACAAAACACGTTCTGTACAAAAACTGGAGCTAGGAAAGAACCACAGTTATTTTTATTCATTTTTCATTTTTGTTATACAACACATCTTCAGGATACACACGTTTTAGCTTTGTTTGATCTTGCAGCCATCTCAGCTCTGTAAGACCCTATTCCCATCTCCAAAACAAACATAACGATCTTGGAGAAGTGTGTGTGTGGGGGGAAGTGCCTACTGATCACTCTGAAAAGCCTGGTCTCATAAAAGTGCTACCTTTGAACAAACCTGATGTTATACTAGCTCTTTGTTAAATACTGCAGGCATAGTTTTTAGTATACCTTTGCTATGTTTTTTCTATTTAATAACAAGACTTACAGAACATGAGAACTCCATACAAATTGATAATTTAAAAATCACAGCAGTACTGAATATCACTTTATTGATTTTTCTCGTCTTTCCACATTTCAGCTTACCTCAGATCCTGGGGAAATCTGACTTTGGCCTGGCTGATTCTGAAGGTGACTGGCATCTCTCTCTGGCACAGAATCCACTGCATTGTCATCCTGTTGTGATTCAACCATTTCCATGGTCATCTGTCTAAAAGTAAGTACATACACATCTAAATAATGCAGTACAGGGAGGTATATCAGGCACCTAGGGAGAAAAGAGCAATTCCAGGCTATTTTATATTTGGAGCAGACAATTAACAACTAAGAGAAAACAAATAGATTTCTCTTAAAACTATCAGATTAACTGATGTCCCTTCTTCCCACTCCCCCATATTACAATGTTCATTCATACAGCCAGGAGCTCTAAAACAAGTGCTTTGGAAAGCTGCAAGGAGGGGCAGTTCTGGTAATGGTTCTCAAGGGAGGGACATGCACAAAGTCCCAGGGCCCCGATGCACTGTTGACAGCAGGGCTGGGAGCACAGCACTCCGGAGCGGCCCACCAGCACTGCCTGCAGCAGGTGCCTCGTACCTCATGTCTCCCACCGGACAAGGCTCAAGTTGACCAACAGCCATGTGCTGCTACAGCCCTCTTGAAACTTCTGAGACACCGACCCCTTGCTGGGATCTATGCTTGAATTGTCTGTAACCTACTTGCGGCTCAAGACCCACAACAATTCTTCTCCATTTGCAGGTTTAAAAGTCGGGTAAGAATGAGCAACTCCCTGATCCTCAATTTAAACCGAGTTTAAAGGCCATAAAGAAAGCTTCCAAATATATCTGCTATATAAAAATGCAATTACCTGACAGTTGCTTTTCCATATTTCTTGGCACACTTAGCCATAACGGAAGGTGTGTGTTTTAAAACAAGAGCTTGGTTCTCTTCGGCTGCCTTTCTCTCCTACCAAACCCTGCACTGAAGGTGCAACATTGAACAGGTGATGTCACAAACATTACCATGGCAACAGGTCAGTTTACAAACAGAACAGAGACAGGATAGGGTCAGGCAGAGGCAGGCAGGATGCCCTACGGGCACACTCCCACCGACATCTTTCTTACACAAGGAATTGAGGCCGCAAAAGGAAGACGCGATACATTTATGGGACTTAAGATGCAGCAAATCTCGCTTCCTTGGGTTCGGTTACTGTAACTAGGGGATGGCAAGCCCGTCTGAACTCAAAGTTCAACTATTTCAACTGGCTGATAGTTACTGCAGTTTCTTCTCAGGTCTTACACTGAGAGATGGAAGAGACAGGGAAGCAAGTCTGCTACACGCCTGACTCTGAGGCTCCTGAATTTAGTCCCACATGTTAAAAGTTAACCACAATAAATCAAATTAAATGTAAACCCAACTCCTTTTGCGGCACTATTTTACAGAATATTCCACAACTTTTGAGGAGAATAAATTTTATTTTTTTTAAAAATCATCCTTTTTGCCTAGAATAAAGGCATGAAAATATGCAAAGGAATCCGTCAAATGATACAGAGAAGCATATTTCTACCTTACATTCCTGCAATACTATTCTACTGACCCGACTTAACAGTACTACTAGTGGTAGCCAAGCTGTACACAATTCAAGATTCTATAGGTTAACATTAGTATTTCTGTCAACAAAAGTTACATAATCTATGCCAGTATCAATTCAGATTAGATTCATAAGGAGACATTTTACACCTAAAATCCTTCTACATTCCTGTCTTGTTAGCTACCACAAATTACCTTTTCCCCTAGATACAATCTAAAGATCTACTGAAATTCACCAAAGTTTAGCAACTCTGGGGAGAATGTTTTCACCACGCTTTCCACCATAATTTTTCATAACATGATGTTTATTTTATTAGATCATTCCAGTTTTATATATGCATTCAATGTAACAATATTAATAAAAAAGTAGTAAAGAAAAAAATATTCCTCCTTAGTAAACTAGGACCATCCATAGAGTCTAAAACACGAAAGCTCTATCTGGTTCATCTAAGAATGCTTCCATAAGCTTCAGAACAGCTCACACACCAAGGAAGATTAAATAAGGCATACATATTGGCAACATATTCATTTCAATCTCTTTCTAAAGATGGGAATATAATCAGAATTAATTCACTTTATAGAGGACCTGAAGTATTTTCTTATCCAAAGCCATCTGTCACAGATAACCTACTGCTGGGAAAAAAACCAAGTACTTTCATTCCCACTGAATGCTTTCCAGATAAATTTTACCTGGAAAGAGCCATTCCTCATGTTGTAAAAAACAGGGCTTAGTTTCTAAATTTTAGCTTAATTCCTCACTGATTGCAGAACACTATAAAAAATTATTTCATTTTACTACTTTGATTACCAGGATTTTTCTTGCAAAGTCTTTTCATCTGATGTGCTCCAGTAACTGAGTTAGCAAATATCTATGAAAAGAGCACCAGTGCAGCAGAAAATCTAACAAAAAGTTATTCTTAGTATTTTATAAAATACAGTACAGAGAAGGGACTGTAACATATTCTAAAAAATAAATTAGAAAAACAACAGCAAGTATTATACATGCCTATGAAATGACAAATATAATTAAGATTTATGACATACATGAAAACCTCAAGAATCTAAATAGATTTTTCCATCTATAATTGTGCATATTCTGACTTAACACAAATTAGTGCCTATTTTAAATCTTTAGCTAGGTGGAGTAAAATCTGAAAATTTGTATACTGCTTTTAAGTAGTTTTTTTTTTTTTAAACTGACAAAATGCAAATGTTACCCTAGAACACAGCAAAATAGTCTTTCTAGATAAGCTAAAATTCACTTATTTTTGACAACGTGGTAATTGTAGTAGGTTTGTAAACAGAGACCTGACTAAAAATGCCGTCCAAATATAAAGACTTAACAAAAATAACAAAGGGCATAAGTAATTTTAAAAGATACACTAGTTATCGTGGCATAAAACTTCAATGAGAAAGATGACTAAAGACAAAATGTAGCACATTAGTATCATAATTCAGACATGTTACAAGATTACAAATCTTCAGTAGACATAACCATAGGGGATCACTAAACTTGCAGGTGAAGGTCAGTTGCAGCCATCTGAGCCCACAGGGTTAGACATGGTACAGCCACACAGGGCCACATCACTTCACATGGGCTTGTGCACCACTCAGGACTACGCCTGCTAAGAAACTCCTGAATTTCACAGACCAGTCCAGGTTATCACTGTGTTTAGTGCACTCTCATCAACTCTCAGGTTCCTGTAGCCTGAGATGTACAGGTTTTGCATTTCCTGTATTATCTCATATAGCATTTTACCGTGAATACATCTAACTGGTTTTAATAAACATACAGAAAAATACAGAGCAAGATCATAACTATGTTTCTTTCTAACACATCAGTAATATGGACTGTGGTCAGAAACAGTTATTAATCCAATCCAGAAACTACCAACATAAACAGTTCCCATATGTATCATACTCAATCAGTCCACACTGCAAGCAAATTCTGACACATTTATTGCTTTTAAGTTTCAAAGGAAGAAAAAAGAAACATCTTTTGGCAAGCACTTAAAATCCTGTATAAAAACATATCAGTAGTAGTACACATCACACTTTAAAGTTTAAATTACCTTCCTCCTATTTTAAAGGAAAATGAAACAGTTTTAAAGTATATGATCTTAGGTCCTGTTTAAAATCATATAGTGTTTTTCTTCATTGTATGATTTATTCTATACAAGTTTTAGTCTTATATTCAGTATTAATACATTCATTTCTTATATTTTCCACCTTGGTTGCTTATCATCACTGGACAGTAACTTTTTAATATTAGTCTGGACTTTTAAATTAATAAACAAGTTATACCTCTCCCCTCCTATAATAAGGGGGCAAAAAATAGCTTTCCGTAATGTAGGCAAAGATACCTGCTTCTTCCTACAAAATAGCAAAGAAATCTTCAGGATCTGGCAAGACGTTTAACTGTTAACTAGCTAGTAACATTTCAATATATATTAGCACGTTTACTACAGTCATTGAGACTAACATATAATAGGTCAGTAGCAGCTAAACACTGATTAAGAAAATGTATACAGTGCACATCAAAAGCTTCTTCAGCTGATAGCAGCAGCATCCCTGATGGGACAATACTGACAGCATCAGCTAAAGGAAAACGTTGCCCAGGTGACCTAGAACATTGGAAATCATTTACAGCTAAAGGTGCAAACGTTTTATATTTTTGTCCATAGGTAAAAGGTGAAGCATAGCAGCCCTATCAAGATGTGTTCTTTTGTAACAAAGAGCACAAAAAATACTTTCACTCCCCCCCAACACTGCTGTTTGTTTTACAATCACATCGCTGGATATTATTATAAATATTTAATGCCTGTTGGTGAAATTAAACTGCATAAGCAATGTGGTACAGTATTTTGCATAACTGGAACTGTGTGACTGTCTAATTAAATACCCAGAAATATTTTAAAGACAACTTCTTTATTTCAACAATACTTTATACAGCAGAGACTGTTTAGAAAGGTGGCTTATTACAACGGAAATTGTAAGGGGCTAAGAAATATGTTTCAGCCCTTGCTCCAAATCTCTTTGAAGGCCTTTATTCACATGAAGTTACTAGAAAACAAGGATGTGAATTCACAAACGCCTATTTTGCTTTTATTGATGACCCCATAGTGAGTGTGGAAACTCTCAGAATGCACTAGATTCAGAAGATCATTGTGTTTTCAAGTATGAAGTCTATAATCTGTTTCACTACTGTCATGATTTAGCCCCAGCTGGCAGCTGAGCACCACACAGCCACCTGCTCACCCCTTCCCCCCAGTGAGATGGGTAGGAGAATTGGAAGAAAAAAAGGTAAAACTCGTGGGTTGTGACAAGGACAGTTCAGTAAGACAGCAAAGGGAGAGGAAAATAACACCACCGCCGCTAATAAAAGAATATACAAAACAGGTGATACACAATGCAATTTGCTCACTGCCCATAACCCAATGCCCACCCCGTCCCTGAGTAGCAATTCCCTCCTTCCCCAGCCAGCTCCCCCTCTTATATACTGAGCAATACAGTCATATGTATGGAATATCCTGTTGGGTAGTTTGGGTCAGCTGTCCTCCTGCAGTCCCCTCCCAGTTTCTTGTGAAAATTAACTCTATCCCAGCCAAAAACTAGGACATTATCCACCACTTATTCTGTACCATTACAGCATGCCCAGATCCTATACTTTGCAATTAATCACCACCACTTTTCCTATCTTTGATAGATATATACACACACACATATACACACCCACAGAGATATCATTCCTTTAGTCTACAGGCCATCGCTCCAAAATGTCCATTGAGTTCATTTAATCCATGACTTTGGGCTACATCTATCATAACAGTCTTTCAGGGCAGAAGAGATGGTGCATGCTGAATCCAGAGCTCATGGCTGGTGTATCTGGCACGGCCCATGCCCAAAGTCTGCAGGTTGAAGATGTCATTTTCCACAACTTTGCTGGGCACCAGTTGCTGAAGTCAGTTCTGGTTTCATCACCTCTGCACCTTGCTTAGTTTCATCAATGTTCATTGTTCATTAGTCTAGGTGATTCTTACCATAATACCATTGTTATGGCATATAGCAATTGTAGTGGTGATGACATACAGTGACAGGGTTATTTAGCAATTAACATCATACAATTTATTGGCTATTCTCACCCAAAATCAAATCCCTTTGAGGTACACATCAGACTTCCCCATCCTCCCACATCACCCCCCCAAGTGCACCCAAGTCCTTCAGCAAAAGCAATCCCACAGATGGGTTTGCCTTTGCCTGAAGCAGAAGTAACCCAGACTGTCTTCCCCAACATATTATTTATGTGCACTGCAGGACTT